TTTTTTTCCACCTAATATTTCCACAAATACGTGAGGATTGTCTTTCTACTCTCCCATGTAACTGGAGGGAGGAGGGGAGGCCCTGATTCCTCTGTCATGGGGCTGAGGCACACCCTAGGGGCCGAGGGAGGCCCTCTGGGGGTCCCCAGACTTGAGTCTGGGTTCTGGGCACTGCCAGGTTGTCTCGAGTTTGTGGGTGTAGAGACCCTCAAGGCCAGTTCTCACCTGAGTCCGGCCCTGGATGGTGTCTGTGGCCCGATGCACCTTCCCCAGGCCGAGGGGGGTCGAGTAGTTGAACCTGTTGACCAGCCCTTCAGGGATGTCCCTGTTGGAGCTCTACAAAGACAGAGCCCGGTACCGGGCCAGGAGGCTTCAGAAACCTTCCACCCCAATCTGAGGCTCTACCCCATGGCAGCCCTGGCAAACTGAGACCGTCTGTTAGGACACAGTGAGGATGTTCCGGCAGCCCTGCTGAACTAGCAAGAACTGATTCATGTCAAGGCGTAACAGTGAAAGCCTGAATCACTGTGGAAAACTCTGTCCTTGTTGGGGTGATATGGAGTTGGGTAAGGCCACAGCAACTGACGGGCTGCACTGCAGTGGTTGGCTGTGTTCTGTGAGATGTCAGGTTGTTGAGAAATATATCCAATACTTTAATCCATCAGATTGGATTCTGTGAGGCAGGGGTGGTGGGAGCGCTGGCCGAGTGTCAGTTTAAAAAAAATACACAGCACTATTAAGTGGGATGATGTGTAAGGATTAGAGAAAGTCTACCAGGACAGCTGAGCAGGGATTGGTCCACAGGATACCTGGGGCAGGGGGTTAAACATTTGAAATGAGAAAAACGCAAAGACAGAAAAAAATGTTCTCTGATTCCAGTGAACACATGAAGACTGTTTTTCCACCTACCAGGGACCAGGTTGGGAGTATTAGAGCATCAGATTTCTTTGGGAGTGGGTCCATGAAAACTTTGAAGCTGCAGATTTGAGTCTGAGTTCTGTTCCCACCCCAGTCACCTCAGGGTCATGAGTGTGGGCCACCTCTCACCTCAGACTGGCACTTGACGGATTTCCTGGCCTGGTCCACTTGTCCTCTGTACCTGTTGCTGACATCAGAGAACCTGTCAACCTGCTGTTCTACGACATCATGGCTGGAGCTCTGCAAAGACAGAGCCCGGTCCCCAGCCAGGAGGCGTCAAGGGCCTGGGCATTACCAGTGGGGAAGATGCCCACCACCCATTCTGCTCCCCAGATCAGGCAGAGAGGGGCATCTGCAAAGACCTCCAGGCAGGGAGGGAATAAGATGATCCCGTGAGGACCCCCAGCTAACAA